AAGATTGAATAATTAATTAAAGAAATCCAATTAAAGCCTCGAGTACGGCGAGGAAGGCGGCGGCGGAGGCGGCGACTAGAGACGGCTCGAGGAGGAGCGCCTGCTCGCGGGACACACGCCGGGTCACACGCCATGGAGGGGCGAGGCTCCTCTTGGGCGGCACGGCTCGAGGCGGGCGTGCCGAGCGGCGGTGCGACTCGTACGCGCGCCCGTGCCGGCTGTCCTCCTATTATTAGTAGTAATATCGGGTAATCTCGGGTAATCTCGACTCGTACGCGCGCCCGTGCCGGCTGGTCCGCCTTCTGGCCTCGCGGGCCTCGCCAGCTGCGCAAGCCTCGCCAGGCGCGGCTTAGGCGAGAGGCGAGCGCTCGGCCCGAAGGCCTACTGCCGGCGGGAGCAGGCGAGGGGGCGCCTCCGCTGCTGCGGCGGTACTTGTGACACCACCACACGGCTCGCGTGCGCCTCTCCGGCTGGCCGAGCGGAGAGAGAGAGCCGTATGCACGGACCGTCACTTCGATGTCCAGCCTCGCCAGCTGGCGCAGCGCCGCCGGCACCTCGAACGAGGCGACCCGATATGGCGCCCGCTCCGGCGCGGAGGCGCACCGGCGAGGGTACGGCGCGCAGGCCGACCGGTGGCTCGCTTTCGCGGCCTCCCTCGCCTTGGAGCCCGACGGGTCGCAAAGGTCTTGCGGGAAGGTGCCGAACGCGCCGATGAATGCGTTTAGCAGAGGTGTGGAGGTGCGCACGTCGACGAAATACGTGCTCACGTTGAGTCCGCACGCAGACTCGTGAGGCGACCACGGGATCAACAGGTGTGAGCCGTTGTCGATCGGCGGCGCCCACCGCTCGAGCTGGTCGGCAGGCTGCACAGGGAGAAAGCCGCTGCCCGACGCAGAGTCACAGAAGCCGACCTCGAGCCCGCCGCCGCCGCGCATGTCAGGGAGAGCGGGACGGAGCAGCGAGCCGTCTTGGCTGGTAAAGGTTTACCAACTCGCCCCGCCGCGGGGGCCCAAGTGAAAAAAGAAAAAATGCGGTTGCCCTGATGTGAGGTTGCCAACTGCACTCCAAGTGCTCCAAGTACGCCGCGCAGGCAAAGAGGTCGGACGGTCTCGGGCTAGCACCGCATCCGCAGCTGTGCGGTTTCGGGTGCGGCCGTCATAGAGTCGCCTCCACACGCGCGCATGCTGGGGACGCGCCCGCCCTCACGGCTCGCCGCCGATCTCCTCACGCCGCCGCCTGCTCGGCCAGCACCTCGGCGATGACCTCGCTCGGCTGCGCGCCAGAGAAGGCCACCGGCTCGCCGTTGCCGCTCGCCGGGTGCACGACGAAGAATGGGACGCCGCGCACGCCCTGCCGCGACCAGCCCGTCGCCTTGGCGTCCACCTCGCGCTGGAATGCGTCCGAGTCGAGCGCCTTGCCCGCGGCCTCGCCATCGAGGCCGCACGCGGCCGCGCACGCCACGAGCTCTTCGCGCCGCGAGAGGTCGCGGGCGTCCTCGAAGTAGGCTTTGAAGAGCGTCTCCATTAGTGGGTCGACCGTCTGCGGCTGCGTCGCCTTGCACCACTCGACGAGCCGGTGCGAGTCGCCCGTGCGGATGATGCGACGCTGCTTGTTGAAGCTGATGCCGACCTTGCCGGCGGCGCAGTCAAGCGGGTTGTCGGGCGCGTCGAAGCGCGCGACTGCCGCCGGCCCATACTTGGCCGTTAGGTGCTCCATCAGGTCCTCGCCTTCGGCCGGCGTGTTCCGGTTCAGGTAGAAAGGCTGCCAGTCGACGTCCAGCGCGACCTTGGCCGACAACGCGGCCGACTCGAGGTGGCGCTTGCCGACCCAGCACCAGGGTCATATGGTGTCCGAGATGAGCGTGACGCGCAGGGCGGCGGCGCGGGCAGCGGCGGCCATATACACGGGGGGACGTGTGTGTACCTCCGCGTGAAACAGCGGCCTGGGCCGGCGACAGCGGCCTCTCTCGGGCCGCCAATGGAATTCTTTTTCAGTGACCTGGTCGTCCAGTGAGCATTGTTTCGTTTCTTTCACTTGCGGCGCATGAAATTACTCGTGAGGAGCGTTACACGCCGATATCCGCGCGCGGGCCTCCTTCTCCCTCGAGCGACCCGTGAGGTGAGGCCAATCTCCAACATCGTCGGCAGCCGATGCCGACGCCGCAGATTCCCAGCTGTCCAAGCTGGGATTGCTCGGTCCTGGGCCAGGTCTGCACGGAGGGCTCCGGCTACACCTGCTGCGCCGCGGTCCTCCCTGAGCACGTCGGTGACTGCTCGGGAATGTGTTGGTTTGAAAACAGCGGCCTTCCCTCCGGAGAAGTCTGCTCCGCCTCGCCCGCAGTCCCACCGCCATTGTTGCCACAGCTATCGCCGCCGCCACCGCCTGCGCTGCCACCGCCGCCGCCGCCGCTGCTGCCGCCGCTAGCACCAGGGCAGATTCCCAGCTGT